ATGTCCGAAACTTATTCAGTAATTGGCTGAGCCCTTTTCTTTTCATCATAGCCCCAAAAAATAGTTAGAAAGCTAATGTCACAAATGGCATCAAATTCCAACACATGTTACCACCACTCCATTGGTTGCATTGGTTGAAAACGAGGTGGAATCTCATGAGGGGAGTCATCCAGGATCAGATTTGGTGAGGTAAAAAGCCCTCCCAACCTATGGAACGAACTGCCAAAAGAGCAGGAAGTGTGTTTGACAAGTTGGGAGACACAACATTCATTAACACCTAAAGGTGAACGACCCTGTCAAGAAAGATCCCATCAAAAGTGATGAGCCTAAAATAAGTAAGCTAAGAAAGTGTATATCTGACCTAGAGGCTAGGCATACGGGCATTTTGGAAGAATACTTCATTGTCTGTCACTTTCTTTTCACATAGGACATACTCGTAAAACTATTACCTGAAAAATTGAAGATGCCTTGGTTATGATGGAGAAGGGGATCCATTTTGCCATCTGGAAAAATATACGTTGTGGATGGATCTATAAGGAGCCATTGGTGCTATCACGTTTAGAGCATTCCCATTAACACTAAGGGACAAAGCCCAAAAATGGTTCAGAAAACTACATCAAAGGTTTATCAAAACTTGGGCGAACCTAGCCACTACCTTCTTAACTTAGTTTATGGGTTCCAAAGCCAGAACCACACCAAAGGAACACTTAGTAAGTGTAAAGCAATGGCAAAGTGATTCCTTGAGAAGTTACCTAAGTAGACCTGCACCCCTATCTAGGTGTTCTAATAGAGGCCCTACCCATAGTCAGTGTCAAAATCTTCAAAGTTTTAGTAGATACAGAAAGTGCCCTTAATATCCTGTATGCAATACAATTAAATGGATGGGAATCCTATTGTATTTTCTACAACAGTACTCAAACCTAATTCTTAGATTGAATGGAGCCTTAACCATACCAAAAAGGAAAAAAACAAGCTTGTTGTAGAGGTAGGAGAAGCCCGTTGCCGAGCTAGGGTCTACACTGAGTTTGTGGTGCTTGACTCCACCTTACCGTATGATGCGATCATGGGAAAACCTCTACTCTTCGACTTAAGAGCAACTTTATCAATGTACCATGATTCAATCAAATTCCCAACACCCTACGAGGACTGGGAAAATCAAAGATAATAGAAAAGCCGCTGAAAGGTGTTGCATAGTGCACTATCCCACCAAAGTAGGCATTTCCAACATTCCACCCCAACATGGGGTAAATATGGCATACCTGGTAAAGCTTGACCTTAATTTATTAGACCCCAGGATCAAGCTCAAAGACAAGGGCGTAAAACTTGTGAAAGAGTTAGATAAATTCTAGGTCAAACACTAAAGGAGCTCAGAATCGAACGTGAATTGCAGCAGCCACTCTGGTCTACACTTGTGGAATTCCTCAATTCGAACTTGGTTGTATTTGTTTGGAGCCATAAAGATATGGAAGGAATTGACCCAAAGATCGATTATCACAGGCTTAATATTGATCCTTCGATTTGCCCCAAGCAACAGCGACGAGGCCACTTAGTGCAGAAAGGTATGAAGCCCTACAAAAAGAGGTGGATAAACTGCTTAGTAATGGTTTTATTAAGGAGGCAATCTATCCCAAATATTTTGCCAACCCGATGCTTCTGAAGAAGTTCAATGAAGATTAATGAGTATGGATAGACTATACCAACCTCAACAAAGCTTGTCCCAAAGACAATTTTCCTCTATAGAGGATAGATAGATGGTTGATGCTAGGGTAGGACATGGATTGCTCAGTTTCATGGATGCCTACTCTGGATATAATTAAATTTCGATGTATGAATCAGGTCGAGAGCCCACCTCGTTCGTAATAGACCGAGGTCTCTAATGTTACAAGATGATGCTATTCGGTCTAAAAAATATTGGGGCTACGTGTTAATGACTTGTAAATTCCATGTTTGCCCAACAAATAGGCAAAACAATGGAAGTTTACATTGATGACATGTTAGTGAAGAGTGTTGTTACAAAAGATCATATTCAACATCTATCTGAAATGTTTAAGATCCTTAGATGATACAAAATGAATTTGAACCCCTGAGCGTGCCTTCAGAGTATGTTTTCACAAATTCCTGGGCTATATGGTAAATAACAAATGAATTGAGGTCAATCCAGAAAAGATATGATCAATCATTGAGATGAAGGCACCAACCAAACACAAGGAGATCCAAAGTCTCATAGGGAGAATTGTTGCCCTAAGTATATTCGTTTCCAAATCTATCAACCATTATAAACCTTTCTTCGATACACTTTGGGAAAGAAAGAAGTTTGAATGGATCCCAGAATGCCACAAAGCCTTTGATAACTGAAGACGCAATTAGCTTAACCACCCCATTTTTTCCAAACCCAAGGCTTATGAAAAATTGTCGCTTTACTTAGCCATTTCGAAGATGCCCTAAGTGTCGTTCTCATCAGAGAAGAGGATAATGAGCATCCGGTCTACTAAGTTAGCAAATCCCTCTATTATGTTGAACTACATTAGTCACCTATGGAGAAGTT